TTTCAGCTAAGCCGACTAAGCCGATAAAATTCTATCGGCTTAGCCGGTCGAAAAATTTTGATTGGCCAGGATCACTAGTTATAAACGATTTTTTGGTTTGTTTTGATCTTTTGCGTTTTTTCGTGTTACACCGGATCTTGAATTCTGATTGGCTGGCGAAATAGTAGCGAAATTTTTAGGGTAGGGGGTTGATTCCGATGATTTCCGTGATCGACGTTACACAAATATTTATATTGCATAGAATAGTAAATCGCGTATAATAATAAGCAAACTTATGAAAAAAACTAGCTATTATTTTTTTTTCTAGTATCCACGGGACAGATGCAGATATAGTAAATATATAAACTAATTTGCTATACTTGTGGATAATTTTTTTGTACTTTATATTAAAATTGTTCTACCTATTTAATTGTTAACCATCTAATTTAGCCGGCATATACGTCCCGGCACTCTGATTGATCGAGGGAATGGCTTCTGATTGGATGATTGATGTGGTAACGTATGATAAAAATTTTATTTATTTTATGATAAAAATTTTATTTATTTTATTTTATTTTCTTTTAATGCTGGTATTAAATTTTGTACGATAGAAAATTTTATAGGTACGCGAACTTTTCGTTATTATAAACATTCCAGATTGAGCGTACTATAAACTAAATTTTAATGAATAGTGAAAATAATATTTATTTTATTACATTACAAGAGTAGAATGTGGCGCCGATAGCGCCCCTGTTAAATAGCATCAGTAAATTTTAAGATTTTCCTAGTAATAAATAGCTATTTGATATCTTATCTTGTTATTAAATAAATAAATAAAATAAATTAAGATGTATTAATACTATAATAACTATTGAATTACAAGTAACTTATTCACAAAAATAAATCATGAATAATTCCGCAGTATGTGTAAGTTTGCATTAGAATTTTCATGGTTTCTACTATGAATCACATGCTGTAAAAATTCTGTAACACTTACCGCTATTCTGACGACCACAATATGGTTGAGGTTGAGTTAGCTTGCATTAGAATTGTCTTAATTTTTATGTGGTTAAACTTGAGTTAGTTTGCATTGAAGTTATTATTTCTTTCGAAAGAATTCTATTGCAAAGCCTCACTATTTTGGTGACTACAGTATGGATTAAGGTCGAGTTAGTTTGCATTGAATTATCGTATTAGAATTATTGTGATTTCTACCATGAGTTACTGCAAAAAATTCTGGTATAAAAACTCGCTATAGTGACTATATAGTTACTATTAAATTTAATAGTAACTATATAGTTACTACATCATACCATGTAGTTACTGCGCATTAAGATATTCAGGTTTCTGTATAGTGTGTATTTTAGTTCATAAATCAATTCCTGTATTTATATTCAACATATTAATTTATAGAATTGGCCCGGTATAGTTAAGAACAACAAAAGACTTTGGAATTGTTACAAACGGCTTTTACAAGCCATGGTTTAAATGATTATGTTGTAACTGTATTTTCCAAACCAACTGGAGAACAGATGAAAAATGCAACAGGACTTGAATACACCTTTTAAGAAATTTGTTGCATCTATAGGCGGTCGTATGGAAATTTCTCCTAATCCTGAAATTGTCACACCTGACTTTGAGATTTACCAAAAGTTATTATTGGGAGTCTATAAAAATGAAAAATTTAAAGAAGTTCGAAAAATTTATGATGATCTTCAGCTTAGAAAAGAAACGGCGAAGAAAAAGTATAGAGAAGACTTAATAAGCATAGGAGAACAGAAGGCTAAAAAAAACTACGATCAAATGATCGAAAAGATTAATCAAGACAATGGTAATTTATTTCTTGAAGGGCTATTGTAGGCGCTGGTGCTGCTATACTTGCTATTGTCGTGCATCAAATTAAAATTTGCGTCAGATTAAAATTTAAATGCGGCGTCTATGTTGGGCATTAGCGGAATTATAATGATTTTAATCTGACGCAGATTTTAATTTGACGCACAACATAGCCACTATTACAGTATTATATTGATATCTATATAACTAACCAACCCTCTAAACCTCGCTCCGCTTTCCTGATCGTGTTACGTTACACTAACTCACGATTACCTATCGCTATTGGTTTATATCACGTGACTGTGAAAATAGTTTTAAGACATAACGATAATTTTAAGACCATCTAAAATTAATTTCCCGTAGACACTAGTTCCAAATGCAACGCCCAACCACCACTACCACCACAGCTACTACTCAAAATATATTCTTTTCAAATTTAGAAGAAGATCTGAATAAAAAGCTTGATAACGAAATTGAACAACTTACTACAAGTTTTCGTGATATTGTGAAAGAATCTGGCTTTTATGCGTATGCTCGAATACCTAATAGAGATAATGACAGTAGGGTACTATATAAGATTGATTTTTAAACATTACAACCGTAATTTTTGTGATTTGTATTAAATAAATAAATATAAGGAAGTTGAAAAAGACGAATATCGAAATGCTTTAGACGAATATGTCTGCGAACTACGAGCCGCAAATATTGTAAGATAAATTCTATTCGTAAACGCTTTTATTTCCGTTAACAATATATTTTTGTTTAAAAGGTTCGGGCATGTGAAAACCTTTTAACCTTGACACATGATTTAAAATCAACTTTATTATTAAACGATACGCAAACGTTAATGCAACTACGCGAAAGTAGGAAAAACGCGTTGAATGCTAGAACCCAAAAAATTAAGCATAAGATTATACAGCTTAATGATGCGGTTAGTGAAGCTATCTGGGAGATGGAATGCGTATTGGGCGGAAGTCAAGTTCGTAATGGTAATGGTGTAATGTAGACTGCATGATTTCTGGTAAGATAGCCTTTTTTTCAATCATAAATTAAAAATTTTATTGACTCAAGAGAAAAAAAAATATTTATTTAATAAATCTGTAATTCAAAATTATAATAAATAGAAAAAATAAATTATATTTTAATTTTTTCAAACAACCTCATCGACAATTCATATACGGTAAATGTACATCCTGCGGCGGGTAGACTAAAAATTATGTGCATGTTCGTTTATGATTGATATTATATTTACATAATTTACGTAATGAAAGCAAGTTGATAAATTTATTAATGCCTTACCTTCTTATCACTTCATAACATAATAACGTATTAGCTTTTAATAATAATAATTAGTGCATAAACTATTTAAAAAAAAGAATTTTCCAACTTACTTGTAGGCGTAATACCTCTCAGAAGTGCCGTAGCACCTTCATTCTTAACTATCGATGTGAAGGTGGTAAATATATAAAAAACTCCTTTAGGAGGACTATACTGATTCTGAACCTATCATCAAAATAGTTGTTTTACACTGTGTGCAAGTATGCATGTCAACCGATCATTCAAAATGTTTAATGCCGCACCTTTGACTTGATCACGTCCAAAGGGTAACAACACGACCAAAAGCATATCCCTCCAAAAGACCCTGCTATCATTAGCGTCGAAGGTGGAAGATTATTAGGATTACCCCCAATTGGTGTAAGCTTCCTTTTAGCAAATTCAAATCCACTATAAAATCCTGCATAAGCCGGAATTTCACGTGCCACTGTAGCCCAAAATCCCCGAAACAATCCATTTCGAATTCCAAACTCTTTAATCAATTGTTGTGCACAATCAACTGGTCCTTTATACCGTGATACTTCGCTTGATCCATATTGCGCTTGCATTTTAATCTTTAATAATTCCACAGGTGATGAAAGAATACTATTAACAGCTCCTATTTAGATTAAAATGATGAACCATTGTATGAGTGGCTAAATAAATAACTATCGCGTCTATTCATTTAATAATTTAGATCTAATCAATTTTGATTATCTATTTTAGGGATTGGACCCGGGTAGAAATTGTTACTATACGATTACCCGAAATATATAATAACTTACCGGGTAATTTTATAATACCCGGGTAGAAATTTTCTTAACGGGTCCAATCTCTAATCTATTTAACATGATGCGTATCGATTCATACAAGTTTTAAAAAATGTTTTAGATGGTTGATTGATTATATACTATTCATACCTGCTCCTGCACCAGCGATTGCAATTTTATGAAGTGCCAGTTGTTCATCTGGTGAGACTGCCTGAATTGCTTTTAAACGCGAATAAGCTGCAAAAAGTAACGCATTTACTGCTCCAATCCCAACTAAAGGACTAGCCATTCCTAGAAAATAATACATTATAATGTCATAATAAGTGAATTTACACACAAGCTCGACGTGAGAAATTAATAATAACCTTTATAAAGTGCGAAAGGTCCCTCTTTCTTAACAGTTTGTAAGAAACAATCCATAGGACCTTTGAATCTTGTGGCTTCTATTTGTAGTCGCGTCTACGAGTAAAAGAGGTTACGCTGTTAATTTATTTTGTATTAGATGTTGAATAACTGAATAAGTTTATAAAAGATTCTTACTTTTATAGTATCCAGAGGTTGTCCAACCGCAACTTGCGCCTAACATATTTAAAAATGAAATTTTGATTAGAGATTTATCGGCTCCACATGAAACTAAGTTAATGTGACGGATGATCGTGAAATTGGCTAAGGCTGAAAATTTGGGGTCTTAATTTAGATCCATAAACCCTACGGATGTTCTATAGAATAGGTGGGCAAACTCCGCAAACTCCGCAACTCCGCTATTAAAAAAAATTAATGATTACTAATCATTAGCGAAGCTTATTCCTTATATTGCCTACCTATTCTATAGAATATCCAAACCTACTAAACCCACTTATGCTAAATTCTACCCATAAAGCTGACCCTTAACCTTAAAAAAAGGTACCCAAAAATTTTAAAATTTCATAATAAAATAGGTCAAAATTTCAGCTTCAACCACCACAGTTAATAACTTGAACTATAACTCAAGCTATAACTTAAGTCATGGCTTAAACCATAGTAGAATGGTTTATCGGCTTTGGTTCTAGCTGTAGTTGATAGCATAAACTATGATTAAGTCATGGTTAACAATCATAGCTCAAGTATGGCTTTAGCCATAATTTAGGTAGCTTTGAAGATATTCTGGCTACAATTTGATGCTCAAGCCATAATTCGAACCATAATTTTAATCTATACAGTCTTATCTCATTAATGTTTGGTATAATGGCCTGAGCCATGGCTAACCGTACCCTAAGCCAGACTCCATAGCTTAAGTTATAGGATAATCTTAAGCTATAGCTTAAGGATGGTTTAATTATGATTTAAGTTATGATTTAAGCTACTATTTAAGCTATGATTTAAACTACTATTTGAGTGTCGCTAAAAGAAACCCCGAAAATTTAAACATAAGTCATATTTAAATTTTCGGGTTTTCTTTTAGCAACACTCATTTAAGCTATGGCTTTATACTATAGCTAGTGAAAGATCATAGTCTATAGTTTGTTTGAACCAAGCCGAATCATTCAAGCCAATGACATCCCTAAATTTGATTTGGCCAAAGTTAATAGTATAAAGTCCTGCCCGTATAAACTTACCATACCAGCAAAACTAAATATTTTCAATTCTTTTAAAAACGAACAATAAAATGGTTGAAAGAAAAAAAAAAAACTGGATGTAATGAAACTACTACTAACCTTCCAGCTACAAAGTCTTCCCATACTCCTTTCGACGATTGAATAGTAGTAACAGCCTCTGCAACGTCTGTCATCGTTTCTAAAGAGAATAAATATGTTAACTAAGAACAAAGATCCACGTATTAATATTCGATAAATTTTTCGATCATCAAAAAAAATGTCGCGTAATTAATACAAATGTTGCTCATTCACGTTTTAGGTAGGACCGACAATTCAAGCATGATAAAAAATTCTGATCATCATAAAATTTAGTATGTATGGTTGATTGATAATGTTTGTTACACTAATACTTTTTGGTATAGGGATGCATCAATTTTTGCAAAGACCAGTCCTAAACCGGTCTCTGATTATCTTATCATGTTATGAAACTTAACCTGTTCCAGGGTATAATGCTAAGCTTTTACAGTATTAAAAAATATAAACAACTAACAAATATATTATGAAAAATATTTTCTGGATTAAAAAAATTGCTAAAAATTTTGCAAAAGGTAAAATGGAGCAACCCGATAATTTAGTGAAGTGGGTTGAAGAATAGATCAACCAAACCTACCTATATCATCAATGAATATATGAATATTGCAATAAATACAAAGAAACAAAATTGGTTGTAATGGCCCATGTTTCTCCCTCTTCAGAAGCTTTAAAAAATAAGTGTTTACACAAGCAGCTAATATCTACGCTTTAGTATTCGATCCGGTAAAAAGTCCTGTTGCTGATAATGCAAAAATGGTTGGATCGATTAGATATATCGAAATCAAAAATAATTCTTATATTTTGATACATTTTTCCTGTGACTCTTGAGCATAAACATCCGGATGACGTGTACACAAATAAAATTATTATATACTAAACGAAAAAATTAGATCTATGTAGCTATTCGACTAAACGAATTCCAGGTCTGGCAAAACTAGTTCGACGGTAAGTATTTGATATATCCGATCAGAATATCAGGGAAAATTACCGTTTGAAAGTAAGTAGTCCATTCCTTAAATATGGTATTGAAATTCTTTCTGAATAATTTTTTTAAACTGGGTTATCTGGCAAATCGATTAATCGTAAAGTTGGTCAAGTTGGCAACTAATTGATTTAAAATCTTAGGCAATATTAAATGTGGAAGATTAAAATTGTAGTGTAAAATACTGTATATAAGCCACCAAAGCATACAAAATTTTGGGTCAGCTTTAGGTACAGAATTTATAGTAAAAAAGTGGTTTTAGGATGTTTAAATAGAAATCCCAAATTTTATTTTAATTCGATTCTATTATTTTCATTGTGGTTGGATAATTTTTGTAGATTATTCCGTGATATCAGTCACAGGACATGTCCTTATACAGTGGATTCTATTCTGTTACTTATAAATCAAATGAGTTGACACATTAAATTTTATATGTAAATTTTAACAAAAAAATTATTATAATTTAATTTATTTAAAAAAATACGCAACTTTCTTGAAATTTTAAATATATATTCTTTGGTTTTACTAAAACACACTACTGGTGTTCAACACCAGAATTTGTGCAATATAAAAAACAACAATAAAAAGATTTTAAATATTTTTAAATAGGATAAATATATGCGTCGCATGCTGCAATATGTTTATACATCGCATCTATATATAAAATATAATGTCTTATAACAACTAAAATAAACTGGGATTTTTTTGTTTGGTTAGGGTTAGGTAGAGTTAGGGTGCAATATAAGTGGGTGTTATAGTAAAATTTTGCAAGAAATTTTTTTGTTAGAGCATAAAAGATAGTTTTATATATGAAATTTTGAGTTATAAGCAACTTTTGTCAAAACAAATGTTTGTTTTGAATCTTTCTAATTGTGCTATATTATATCTGATCTTAAAATTTGATTGGTCAATTATATAAAATGCAATATATAAGCACATCACAGGTTGTGATGCCTAATTAAGTTCTTTTTAAATATTTAAATATAATTATAGTTAAAGAGTAATTAGAGATTAGAGTAATGTATAATATATAGTAAAATTTTGTAAAGAATTTTTTTATTAAAATAAAAAGGTGGTTTTATTGGTTTTTTTAATATTAAGATAATCTTTTAGTCAGCTTTTGTTATTTGATTATAGTTTAATTTTTATAGTATAAGTATACACTTATACTATATATATATTTGAAGAGTACAACTAGTTATATATATAACTTTTGGTTGTCTATTTAAGTAGTTTGTATATAAAAAAAATATTATAAAGTTTATACTAAATATTATACTAATAGCTCAACTAGAGGTAGTAGCAGAGTTTGATTTAAGATATAGGTTAGTAGTATTTGAGCAGATAAGTAGAAGATTAGAGCATTCATGAAGAGAGATGGTATATAAAGAGATGCAGACTAATTAAAGTAGTGCAAACTCAAGATAAGTCCTTAATTCGACAATAGAATATCAACTTTGTCATGTAGTAAACCTAACTAGGCAGCAAGTTTCTGAATTGAGATATGAGACTGTTAGACTACTTGCATCAATTATGATTGTATAAATAAAATATCTTAATAGAAAATTGCAGTAGATTGTGCTTGCAGGTATACTAACTTGGGAGCTCATTAGAAGCAAACATCTCAACATACCAAATTGGAAGTTATAACTGATCATGTAAGATGTAGAAGAATGTAATATTATTAGAAATAGTTAGTTGAGAAGTATTAAGCTAGGTGAAACATATATAGAGTATAGACCACTTTAGTAGATTTAGATTATAGATAAATTAGTCTAAGTCTCTGTAGTGTTATATTAGCATATAGTAAAAATTTGTTAATAAGTATATGTTAATAAAAACTAGAGAAGTAACTTCACTTAAATATTAAAAAATATATATATTAATTTTAAAGCTATAGTTCTTAATACAAAGTTATAGTTTATATAAAAGATAACAATAAAAGTATAGTAACTTAGTATAGTTAATAAGTTGTTACATTTTTAAGTAGCAGGACAAGAGTTTGAATTCTACTAATAATGAAATTCAAATTTTACAGAATGTGTTATAACAGACTGTATGTAATTTGATAGGTCAGCATCAGTAACTTTTTATATCAGCTTATATTAGAAGGTTATAAAGCAATAATATAATACAAAAATTATACAAAATCTAAGTAAAGCAGCTAGGCAAATTTAAGGGCTTTGGATATACAAAAGTCTACTTGAGATAGTCTCTATATAACTATAAAACTTACAAGGAAGAATCTACAAAATTTTGTTGGTCCACCACTTTTTTAAGGAAATTTTGTCAAAAAGTAGGCGTAATTGTGACTATCAGATTTTTTTTTTTACTTTCGTTTTTCTCTTTCCCCCTTTTTAGTATTAGTGTCAGTATTAGTATTTTTTTCTTTTTTTCACTTCTCTATAAGAAGATGTTATCAGATTGGTAATATTCTATTGTAGAGTGGTGGTCTGATATAGCTTTCTAGAATAGATGGTCTTCGAATTTTCTATTGATTTACTATAATATGTCTCTTATAAATTTATTAGCCTAGTATGGCAGATTGCTTGTAAGTGCTCATAGAAGTAACTGTAGGATGTCAGACCTAAATATTAAGCTTAAAGTATCTTGTACAGTCTATAACAAGACAATCTTAATAAAGAATCATTGGCAAGACTGCTAAAGTTGAAAAAAATAAAAATAAAAACTATTCCTTATCTTTTTCTTTTATATCTTTTATCTTTTTCTTTAATAAATTTTGTTTTTTTCTTGTTAATAATATAAAGTGAAAGCTGATTTCATAAATAGTATTTTGGCAAATACTAGCTTTATATTGTTAGAATTTAAAGGCCATATATAAATGTCAACGGTCTGATTATTAGTGCTTTCTTTCCTCTAGTTATATCTTAGGATATTTTTAAGTTTTTAAGTCTAATAATCTTTGTACAGAGCAAGCATTTTGCTAAACTCAATCTATACAAACTGAACAATAGATTTGACCCTAATATAATTGTCTATTGCTAACTCCTTATAGTATCTAGAAGGCTATTAAATTTAAATTCTGTTTAATTATTTTTATTTCTTTATCTTTCTTCTAATTTTCTTTAAATAAAAGATTTTTCACTCAACACTTGTGTTTTTAAAATTTGCTAAAGCTTTCTAGTTTTTAGTAAATTTTATTACAATACTAAAATTTGATTAATTAATTTTTTAAATTTTTATTAGACAATTTCTATTTGTATACTAGTGTATGAAACACAGGCATATAGAAAGCCAATTAGGTTACATGATCAGGTGTAATGTCAAATTATTGCTTTCTTTAAAAAATCGTTTATAACTCAAAATTTCGCTTATGAAATCATCTTTTTAATATTAATTAAAAAAATTCCTTGCAAAATTTTGGTGTAAGCTATTTACCTTGCTCTGTTCCAAGCCCACCCTTACCCTAACCTTAGATAGTGCTTAACTTTTCGTTTATTCAAACTGTTTTGATTTATACATTACACAGATTTGCAAATTAATATCCGTGTACAATACACTAGTGTATGCTAAGAATTTTCTTTTTATTATATTTGTTAAATTTGCATTATATTTTTTAAAATTTTATTATATTTTATATAGAATATTACTAACTATAACTAGTAGTAATCATTATTAGTGTATAATTAACCAATAAATCTGATATAATATGTAAATCAGTTTGTATAATAAAAATAATAAATTTTTTTAAAAACATATCCACTGATTTGGTTTTACTCAAAATTAGCCAATCATGATTAAGAATTATTTGCTATTAAAGCTTATTACAAAATAAGTTTTTACAACAACGATTATTTAAACTTACTTTTAATTTATAATTAAGTGTATAGAATATTTTAATATTTATATGTTTAATTATTAGCTAAAAGTAAATTAAAAAGATAGTTTTTCTAAAAATTGCTTTTGAATTTACCTTTACTCATTTTACAACTGATCATTCAATAACAAACTGATCTTTCACTATCTAAAATACTCTAACACTTTAACAACTAGTGATAGTGCTTCTTTTTATAGCTTGGCGTAGCTGTTCTTTAAATATTTATTGCTTATTTATCTTATATAGAGACCAAAAAACTATTTTATTTGAAGGTTTCGTTT